AGCCACCACACTGGTGGTCATTTCCTTTATTGACAGCTTTATTTTACTGTTTGGTGTTCTGATCTGGTTGTTGCTCATTGGCTAAGCTATTGTGAAGAACAGATGTCTGTGAGGAACAGTGGAGTAAAGGATTTTTATAAAATGCTTCCATGAAGAGCTATTGGAGGGAAATTAGAATGGTCATGGTAGAGATTCATTTTTCAACTAAGGGGTTATTTAATGAATGAGAAATGAAGTTAGAAGATTAGGATAAAAAAATCATGTTTTCCAAGCATAGAGTTTTTATTTACTTAAAAAATAATGGTGCTGAGAGTGGAGTTAAAGTGGAAAACATTGGCAGAGATTAGGGATGACTATTGAGGAAATCAAAGTGGTAATTGAGAGGATTTGAAAGAATTCATAAGTGCATTGTGGAGAGCTGAGGTTTAAGAGTTTATGGAAATTGTGGTTAGAAGAAATGGGAGCAAAAATGAATTTAGAAAAGAGAGGAATAATGAAAATGAAGTTTTTGGAAATATGAACATTTTCTTTTACATAAACTTCTGTATCATTGTATCAAGGAAATTTTGACTAGAAAGCTGCCACTTTGAAAAGAAGTGAAGGACAGAGCTTAACCTACTGAAGTTTCAATGTGTTGAAGAGATAAATTGAAGCAGATCATCAAGTTTTGTTTTTGGTGTGTTCAAAACATTCAAAATTGAGAGTCTCCTATTTTTATATTCTAAGACTCCATGGTGCCTGGGAGGATGGGCAAGAGGGAGGTTGAAGAGTATAATTTAGAGTGAAAGAGACAGTGTTCTAAGGGAAGTTGAGCTAGGGCATAAAAAACATCATGGCTACTCTTTGGTTCTCCTCTGTCCTGGCAGCTTCCAGTGATATCCCTTCATTCCTGGACATCCCCTACCCCATCAGTTCTCCTTTGTCTTAATTGTCATTGTCATCTTTGTTGTGGTCTTCTTTGTTGCCCTTCATCTTCTCTTTCTTCTCCTCCCTTTTTTTTCTTTCTCTGAACAAGTAATATGTTTTTGCATAGCACTAGAGTGCTATGAGTTGTATAATTTATTAATATTTAAATTTTTCCTTTATTCACAAACATTTAAAGATGTTTAAATTTACATGTTGCAGTTAATCAGTCCATTTGAATCAGAATTTGAGAGCTTAATTAAAGTTATAATATCAATTCTCCATCGGTAAAAAATAGAAATTAATAATTAGAGAAGGTTAGCACTGATATGTTGTCACCTCTATTTAATTCAGCTGTCTGGTTTATTTGGAAGTTGATATAAGATTGTTTTTATAAAGGGTACCGTAGTTTTACTGTTGTACAAAGTTGTCATACTTAAGTTTTTCAAGGAAAATAATTTTGTATGATTCTTTAAAACAATAATGAACCATACACTTTTTTACAGGTACATGAAATCCCGCTTAACCTATGGTCAAATTAATGATGTTATTAAAGAAATCAACAAGGCAGTAATTAGTAAATATAAAATCCTGTATCAACCAAAAAAGTCTATGAATTCTGTGGCCAGAAATCTCTATCACAGATTTATTAATGAAGAAACAAAGGATACCAAAGGTAAAAGGTAGCATATATATGTGTACATGTGAACTGTTCAGAATATAACTAAATCATGAGAAATGTAGCTCATTCTAGAAAACTCTAAATCTAGTGTTAATTCCCAACCAGGAGCAGTTACCCTACCAGGGGACATTTTACCATGCCTGGAGACATATTTGGTTGTTACAGCTGGGTGCTCTTGGCATCTAGTAGATAGAGGCCAGGGATGCTGCTATAACAGCCGTCAGTGCAAAGGATAGCACCCACAAAATGAATTACCTGGCCTACATTGTCTGTAGTGGTGAGCCTGAGAAACACTGCTGTAGAGTTTATTGTGAACTATGCCCAATGTTTTAAAAATTAGAATAGCAATAACAGCTAGCTCTGCTGACAGAACACTTGCTGTATAACAGAGTGTGCCAAGAGCTTCAGTTCTTACAACTACCATATCACTTACTATTACTACCCCCAATTTGCAGACTAGGCGAAGAGAGCTTAACTTATTTGTCCAAGGTCATACAGTTGAGTGATAGCACTGTTATGGGCTTTACTCAGTTAACCACTACATCACATTGCCTCTTGAAAAGTGAATCATTCAAGAGATACCAACAGATAGCTAGTAACCTAGTAAATATCATGCATGCAACTTCTATTGATAGAATAGTTATTATTTTATCAAGAATACTAGTTCTTGGTTTTATTGGATACTAACAGTAAAAAAATGATTAATACCATTCATATTCATAATTTAATGCATTAAAGACTTTTGCAAGTTGGCCTTATAAAAATTAGCACTAATATCTTTATTTTTAGGTCGTTATTTTATAGTGGAAGCTGACATAAAGGAGTTCACGACTTTGAAAGTTGACAAAAAGTTTCATGTGATACTGAGTATTTTACGACACTGCCGGAGACTATCAGAGGTCCGAGGGGGAGGACTTACTCGTTATGTTATAACCTGAGTCCCTTGTAAACTTTTGAATGGGCCAACAGTAGGGTATAGAGGCCATTTCTATATATGATTTCTTTAGCTTTTTTTTTTTTTTTTTTTTTTTTTTTTTTTTTTTTTTTTTTTTTTTTTTTTTTTTTTTTTTTTTTTTTGAGACGGGGTCTTGCTTTGTCATGCAGGCTAGAGTGCAGTGGCACAAACATGACTGACTGCAGCCTCAACCTCCCAGGCTTAAGTTATCCTCCCACCTCAGCCCCCTGAATAGCTGGGACTGCAAGTCTGTGACACCATGCCTGACTAAATTTTGTGCTTTTTGTAGAGATGGGATTTCACTATGTTGTCTAGGCTGGTCTCAAACTCCTGAGCTCAAGCAATCCACCCTCCTCAGCCTCCTAAAGTGCTAGGATTACAGGTGTGAGCCACCACGCCTGGCCTATTCTTGTTTCTTATAAAAATAAATCTTTTCTGAACAAAGCTTATATGTCTTCAAGATTCACTTCCTTTCACCAGACATTTAACTACCTGCTGAATAAGCCTCTGTATTGGGCACATAATGGAACTAAAAAATGATCATGTCTAGTTTTTGTGTTGAATAGACAATGCTGCAGACCCCAATAAGATTGGGTACAGATCAGCATGCACCTGTAGACCTAGGTACTCGGGAGGCTGAGACAGGAGAATTGCTTGAACCCAGGAGGTGGAAGTTGCAGTGAGCTGCGATCGTGCCACTGTACTCCACTCCAGCCAGGGCAACAGAGTGAGACTCTATCTCAAAAAGAAAAAAAAAGATTGGGTACAGTTGTGATATTGGAATATTGGAAGAAAAAGATCAAGATGAGGTTAGGATACCCAGGCCCTTTGGACTTAAAGATCACTATTGTCTAAATTCCATCGATGGCATTTCAGTCTATAGGAAAACTTCCTGGAAGCTGGATTTTGGAGACAGGTTATAATCTGATTATTGTGCTTTCCTATAGGTTCTTAGGGAGTAGCTTACCTGAAATGCATTTAGTGTATACCAGTCTGTAAACTTCAACCTATAATGAAAGTGTAATAAATGTACATTGAGTTGATGTGATATTGTGATATAATAAAAAATATATATTTGATCTTCCTATCCAGTTCCTTGTTCAGCTCTTCTAAAACCCTTGTAATTTCCAAAGTGATGGAGTGCATCTTTTATTCTAATATTTGGTCTTTGACCCCAGTTCCTGACACAACACTCCTAAATTCCTTTGAATTTCCTAGTGATAGGAGAATTTTTTGTTCCAATGAGGTAACTCTTGGTGGGCACCTGGATAACTCAGGATGGGGGCTGCTCAAAAAGACTGCATCATGATTGAAAGTTTCAAATTTTCAGTCTCCCACCTCCAGAGAGGGGAGAGGGGCTGGAGATTGAATGAATAATCCATCATGCCTACATCAACAAGACGTAAAAATCCCTTAACTGTGAAGTTCAGGGAGCTTCAGGGTTGGGAAACATTTTGATGTGCCAGGAAGGTGATGCACTCCAGCTTTACAAAGACAGCAAGTCCTGTGCTCAGGACCCTTCTGGATCTTGTCCCAGGTACCCCTTCATCTGGCTGTTGTTCATCTATATCCTTTGTAATAGCCTTAAAATAAACTGGTAAACACAAAGCATTGCCTTGAGTTCTGTATTGCCGTATCAAATTATCAAACCTGAGGAGGGGATTGTGGGAACCCCATGTGTAGCCATGTTTGACAGAAGTATGGACAACCTGGGGATCCACTAGTTGTGATGGTGTTTGAAGTTGGGGACAGTTTTGTGGGACAGAGCCCTTAACCTATGGGGTCTGCATTAATTCCAGGTATTTAGTGTCAGAATTGAATTAAAGATGGGGATACCCTGTTGGTGTCTAAAGAGTTGGAAAATTGGTTGGGATAGGGAAAAAAAACCACACATTTGGTGTCAGAAATATTATGTGAATGTAGTATAGAAGAAAACAGGCTTTTCCCTTTTAGATAAAAAAGATGATAAAACAATGTGTGAGTAGATTGATAGTAGTCAAGAAAAATGGGTAATGGGATTGTAAGAACTTAGCCATGTTTCTCTTATGTACCTGGGGAGACTGGTCTATCTATGTCTGTGCCATCTGCTTGGCAGACTTATCCCTGTAGCAGAGAAAAAAATGTGTCTCACCAAGCCTGTGGCCTGGTTAATACCATCACTGTGATGAACACAGAGTACCTTGTAGACACTGCATATTTATTGTTATTCATTCGTTCTCCTTAATTTAAATGCAGTCATGTTTAACTTTTCATGCCTCAACTTAAACAAAAATAAAGACATTATTCTTTAAGTCTTGTTTGATTGCTGATATGGTTTGGCTGTGCCCCTACCCGTATCTTACCTTGAATTGTAATCCCTATGGATCAAGGGCAGGGCCAGGTGGAGATAGTTGAATCATAGGGGCGGGTTTTTCCCATGCTGTTCTCGTGGCAGTTAATAAGTCTCACAAGATCTGATGGTTTTATAAATGGGAGTTCCCCTGCACACGCTCTCTTGCCTGCTGCCATGTAAGACGTGACTTATTTGCCTTCTACCGTGATTGTGAGTCCTCTCCAGCCATGACGAACTGTGAGTCCATTAAACCTCTTTCCTTTATAAATTACCTAGTCTTGGGTATGTCTTTATTGGCAGTGTGAGAACAGACTACTACCATTTTTCCCTGTGAATCATTTTTCCCCATTAAAAAAAACTTTTCTCATTTCTTCCTGAAACTAATGTCAAATGACTATGTAAGTTTGTTTCATTTTGAAAGAATGGCTGCTGTGGTGTCTCTGGGAGCTTCAGAGAGTATAAAGCTTGCAAACCTCTAGTTGGCATTTCCCAAATTGCATGTCTTTGAGTGCTAGTGTCAACATAGTAGATGGAGTTTTTCTTTTGTCTTTTTTCTTTTCTTTTTTGGAGTCAGAATCTCCCACTCTGATGCCCAGGCTGGAGTACAGTGGCATGATATCAGTTCACTGCCTCTACCTCCCTGGTTGAAGCCATCCTCTCACCTCAGCCTCCCAAGTAGCTGGGACTGCAGGTGTATGCCATCATGCCTGGCTATTTTTTTGTATTTTTTTTTAGAGATGGAGTCTTACTATGTTGCCCAGGCTGGTCTTGAACTCCCGGGCTAAAACAATCCTCCCACCTTGGCCTCCCAAAATGTTGGGATTATAGGTGTGAACCACTGCACCCAGCCTGTAGATGGTTTTAACAAGGATTCTGTGGTTATAGTGAGGAAGGAAACCCAGGCATCTGGGATCAACTCCCCTTCAACTTCCACACTGCATTTCAATAGAAGAAAAAGCGGGCTCATTGGTGCCTCCTGAATCTCCTTCCTGTAAATAACAGGCTTGATATTGGGGAAACTCTCCGGAAGACACTGTTTTTACTTAAAATCAAACCTCCATCCGGAGACCAGAGCCTTTTCACATGTGATTCCTAAAACTGTAAACCCAGAACCCTTTCATATGTTATTCCTAAAACTGTAAACCCAGAAACCTTTTCACATGTGAGTCCTAAAGCTGTAAATCCAAAGCCCTTTCACTTGTGATTTCTAAGCCTGTAAACCTAAAATTCTTTCACGTGTAATATCTAGAGTATAAGCCTATATAAAGGGAAAACCTTCCTTTGTTAAATGAGCTGGGTAATTTGGAACCGTCTCCTGGCTGTAATAATAAACTCTTTCCTTCTGTGGGATGTGCTCAGTTAAGTAAAGGTAAGCAGATTTTTTTATTCCATGACTTCCAAAGTCCTTCACTGTACCCATTTATTTCCTAAATCTCCAACAGAGACAGGCTGTGGAGTGGAACACACCTACTTGTAGACTATGAGTTACTTCTATTACCTCTTTCATTGTTTTTGAGGAATACATCTTAATATCTCTGGGCATAGTAATGCTCCATGAAATACATTTTTGGGGACATAAAGCAATCTCACATAAAGCAATCTGTTTTGAAACCCCACTCATTTTTACTAATGAAATTTCATTACCACAGTCTTGTTAGTAAATATATGTATGTAAAAGACATTTATTGAGGCAGTGTAATGGACTTTGGGTGAGAAGGCTAACCATAGTTCAAATCCTGTATATGCTACTGACACACAGTACAAGCTTCAGTCAATCTCGAAGAACCTCAGTCTTCTTATCTTCTGTAACGAGATAATCACAGCAGTCACCTGGTTGTCCTTGCTGACTCCACTTGGTGGTAGGAGGTGAGAGAAGTACTGGTGCAGCTTGAGAGTGCGATTAAAAGGAGCTGGATATCATAAAAAGCAGCCCAATTGAAGCAGGAAAATAGGGTCTGGAGGCAGAGAACATAAGGCTCGTTCACACTTCAGCTATGACAGGAAATATCCTCTCCATAGGCCAAGTAAATGACTTTATAACTTCATTCTCTTCATTTACATAGGGCATACCCCAAATAGAGGGTATTTAAACTCCAAAAAATTATGTTACGAGGCCTTTGAGACCCTGTGCTCAGGCCTGCTCCCACACTGTGGGGCATACTTTCATTTTCAGTAAAACTTTCATTCCTTCCTTGCTTTGTTTCTGGGTTTTGTCCAATTCTTTGCTTAAGACACCAAGAACCTGGACACCCTCCACCATTAACACGATGTCTGGTCAGCCACCAAACTTGCTAAAGTGCTCAGTGACAGTGATACTACAGTGTGGTATAGAGAGGGGAGGAGAAAGGGGAGCCAGTACAAGGGCGACCTGCATCCCGTCTTTGGCAGGGCGAGTTCCTGGCAGATGTCTGGACAGCACATGGACACCTCTGCTCAAAGCATCTTGCCGTGGATCCTCTGGACTGTGGCTTAAACATACTGCCAGCCCCCTCCCGGAAGACTACCTGTTGGGCAAGGGTCCCCTGGGCAGAAGCTGCTGTGGAAGGGATAAGACGGGGTTTCTTGCCTCTGGGCTGTGCAAGGAAGCTGCTGCTTAGAGGGAAGGAGAGGACTAAAACCTGCTGTTGAGATAGAGATTTTTGGAAAGAAAAGATGGTAGCAATCACTTCATGGATAGCCACTGTGGTCCCAGACCAAACTGAGGGGATGCCGTTTCTCATGACCAATAACAAGACGCAGATGAACTGG